AATTACACAATTTCGTGTTGAAAAAAGTATAGATATTGCTAAAGCAGGGGGTCCTCGTTCTAAAAATTTTTGGAATGAATTAAGAGGCACTAGGCATACAGTAGTTCCATCTAACTTAAAATGTACCGATTCTGACCAGGTCACAACTGACAAAGATGTTATGAATAACATGATTATGAGTTATTGGAAAAATATTGGTAAAAGTAGTCAGTCTAAACATAATAATGATATTGATATTAATAGCTATCTATTTGATATCAGAGAAGGTTTAATCAAAAACAATGTCAATGAACCAACAAATACACTTGATGATATAGAAATATATTTTGATGATGTTAAAAGTGCTTTGTTACGTGCTAAAAACAATAAATCACCCGGTATCGATTGTATAACTAATGAGCTGTTAAAGAATTGTGGTAATTCATTAATTAGATCCTAAACATACCTCTTCAATAATTTTATTGATAATGGAGATATTCCCAAAGAATGGAACAGAGGGATAATAATTCCTATACACAAAAAAGGTAATAAAAATGATCTTAACAACTATAGAGGAATTACCCTATCTTCATGTGTATCTAAGATTTTTAACCGCATATTTTTTGTGATCAGATTTCTGAGTTTTTAGAAGATAACAGTGTCCTTACGGAAATTCAGGGAGGCTTTAGAAAAGATTATAGGTGTGAGGACCACATTTTCACATTAAAAAGCATTCTTGCAACGCGAAGTGCGGAAAATAAGCCCACTTATTTAGCATTCCTGGATTTTCGTAAAGCATTTGATACAGTTTGGCGAAATGGCCTCTTATCAATTGCATGGAGTACTGGTATCCTTGGTAAGGTCTGAAATATTTTAGATAAGTTGTATAAAAATGTGCAGTGTAATGTTAAATTTGGTGATATTGTAACTGATTTTTTCGATGTCGACGAGGGGGTTAAGCAGGGTTGTGTTTTGTCACCCGCTTTATTTTGTATTTACATAAATGAGTTATCTAAAATGTTAAATGACAATGATTTAGGCTGTTATACATTAGGAACTAAAATATCTTGCTTATTTTGGGCTGATGACGTTGTCCTGATTGGTAATGATGCATTTTATTTAGAAAATATGCTTAATATTGCAGGTCAATTTTCAAAGAAATGGAAACTTGAATTTAATTATGATAAGTCTAATGTCGTTGTGGTCGGTAAACGAACTGACAAACTTAAAAAATGGCCACTAGGTAATCACCACATTAAAGAAGTGGATAATTATAAATATCTAGGCATTAACATTTCTAAAACACAATCTGAATGTTGTCATGTAAATGATCTAGTTAAAAAGGGTAATAAGCTAATAGGCTATATCAAATCCATCATAAACGGTCAGGACGATCTTAATAGAGTTTACTTCGGTGATATTTTGTGGAAAATGATCGCACTCCCATCTATTAATTATGCATGTGCTGTTTCAGCTTATAGTGCCAGTGATTATAAAAAATTAGAAAATATTCAGTTATAATTGGCTAAGTCAATCCTTAAAGCACCTAGAAACACCCCTTCTTTGGCTCTACTAGGTGACCTTGGATGGGAAACAATTGAAAATATTCAGAATGAAAGAAAAATTAAATATTTTGATAGACTCATTAACTTGGAGGCACATCGCTGGCCTAGATTACTACTTAATGCCTTATTTACCTTATACAATAGTAATTCTAACCTTAAATGGAGATGGTTAAAATCTAATTATAACCTTCTTAATAATAGTGGATTTGACCATATCTTTTCAAGTGATATTCCCCCTGATACAGCATGGTTTAAGTCATTTAAATATACTTTCCAACAAATGAATGTAGTTGATTGGCTTAATAAAACCAGCGAAAAATCATCCCTCTCTGATTATATTAAATTTAAAAGGATTCTTAAAATGGAAAGTTACCTCCTAACTAAAACTGATTTTTATGGTGCTCAACTTAAGTTTAAGGCACGCTCTAACTC